ATGTATAAAAATATTGAATCACTGTGTTGTGCACCAGGAATTAACATAGTATTATAGATAAATTATAATTCAAAAATAAACAAACTTATAGAAAAATAGATCAGATTTGTGGTTACCAGAGTTATTGGGTGAAGGCGGTCAAAAGGCCTAAACTTCTGGTTATAACAAAAGAAGTATTAGGGATGTAATGTTCAACTTGATTAATATAATTAATACTGCAGTATGTAACAGAAAAATCCTGAGAGTTCTCATCACAGGACTTTTTTCTTTTATCTTGTGTCTATATGTGATGATGGATGTACTGTAAACTTATTGTGGTAATCATTCATGGTGCATTAAAGTTAAATCATTATGCTATATGCCAAAAACTTATATAGTGCTGTGTGTCAGTTGTATCTGAATAAAACTAGAAGAAAAAATGAAAATAGAAAGAGCAAAACCAAGAAGAAAGAAAAAGCCTGATACATGTGTTATATGTGTGCCTTACTTTTCTTAACATATAGAAAAAGTAGAAAATTACACATTAAATTGTTAACATAGATTACTTTAGAGGTACAAAGTTGAAAGAGAGAGGAGAAAAACTATTTATATTTTTATATATTTTGGTTTAATTTGAACTATTATCACAATCTTATTTTCCACTTGAATTTTTTTAAAGCAACATAGAATACAATGAATGGTGTTCCCAGTTTGGGCAATTAACATGCTTGAGTGCTCTGAAGCATTTGAAAGCAGTATTAATAAATAATAAAAGTTAACTGATAAAAGAACATTTAAAATTTTATTCATATTTATTCCATCTAGCCTGCTACATTTTTCTTTGCCCTGCTACCTTCAGTACCAATTATCCATAATTACTGAGGTTTGTTTCTATAAAAACAGAAGCTGTATAGGGCAGAATCAACATGATATCAAACAGACCTGAGTTAAAAATCTCTGTTGTGTCACTTGATAACCAGACTGGTCATTTAATTCCGTTGTGCATCAGTTTCCTCATCTGTAAAATTGGTACCTGATTATTCCAAGGAGGATGAGAGTTAGAGATAAGAAATACAACTCACAGAGAGCAGTGAGTGTCATAAACACTCAATACATATTTGCTTTTGTTATTAGAACTGTGTCTGAATGTCTCCTATAGAGGTATAGGTCGTCAGTGGCCTGCCCCAGGGGCTCTGGGGGCAGCAGACCTGGGTATGGCATAAGCCCTCTTGGAGGGCACAAACAAAATCTTGTGCGCACAAGGACCCAGGAGAAGGGAGCAGTGACGCCACAAGAAACTGACCAGACATGCCCATGAGTGTCCAGGAGTCTCCGGTGGAGACATGGGTTGGCAGTTGCCTGCTTCAGGGCTGGGGGCATTGAGTGCAGCAATGCTTGCATGGGACCTTTTGAAGGAGGTTGCCATTATCTTCATCACCTCCACCATAGTTTGCCCTCAGGTCAAGCAACAGGGAGGGAACATAGCCCTGCCCATCAATGGAAAATTGGATTAAAGATTTAGTGAACAGGGCCCAGCCCATCCAAACAGGACCCAGTTTTGCCCTCAGTCTCTTCCATCAGTAAACTTCCATAAGGATCTTTTCCCTATCCATCAGAAGGCAGAAAGAATGAAAACCACAATCACAGAAAACTAACCAAACTGATCACATGGAGCACAACCTTGTCTAGCTCAATGAAACTATGAGTCATGCCGTGTAGGGCCTCCCAAGATGGACGGGTAATTGTGGAGAGTTTGGACAAAATGTGGCCCACTGGAGAATGGGATGGCAAACTACTTAAGTATTCTCACCTTAAGAACCCTGTGAACACTGTGAAAAGGCAAAAAGATATGACAATGAGAGATGAACTCCCCAGGTCGGAAGGTGCCCAATATGCTACTGGAAAAGAATGGTGAAATAACTCCAGAAAGAATGAAGAGACAAATCCAAAGCAAAAACAATACCCAGTTGTGGATATGACAGATGATGGAAGTAAAGGCTGATACTGTAAAGAGCAGTATTGCATAGGAACCTGGAATGTTAGGTCCATGAATCAAGGCAACTTGGAAGTGGTCAAACAGGAGATGGCAAGAGTGAACATCAACATTTCAAGGATCAGTGAACTAAAATGGACTGGAATGGGTGAATTTAACTCAGATGACCATTATATCTACTACTGTGGGCAAGAATCCCTTAGAAGAAATGGAGTAGCCATCATAGTCAACAAAAGAGTCCAAAATGCAGCACTTGGATGCAATCTCAAAATGACAGAATGATCTCTGTCTGTTAAGGCAAACCATTCAGTATCACAGTAATCCAAGTCTGTGCCCTAACCAGTAATGCTGAAGTAGCTGAAGTTGAACAGTTCTGTGAAGACCTACAAGACATTCTAAAACTAACACCCAAAAAAGATGTCCTCTTCCTTATAGGGGACTGAAATGCAAAAGTGGGAAGTCAAGAGCTACCTGGAGTAACAGGCAAATTTGGCCTTGGAGTACAGAATGAAGCAGGGTAAAGATTAACAGTTTTGCAAAGAGAACACACTGGTCATAGCAAACACCCTCTTCCAACAACACAAGAGAAGACTCTACATGTGGACATCACTAAATGGTCAATAGTGAAATCAGACAGATTATGTTCTTTGCAGTCAAAGGTGGAGAAGTTCTATACAGTCAGCAAAAACAAGACCGGGAGCTGATTGTGGCTCAGATCATGAACTTCTTATTGCCAGATTCGGGCTTAAATTGAAGAAAGTTGGGAAAACCACTAGAACATTCAAGTATGACCTAAATCAAAGCCCTTATGATTATACAGTGGAAGTGACAAATTAGATTCAAGGGATTATATTTGATAGACAGAGTGCCTGGAGAACTATGGATGGAGGTTCGTGACATTGTACAGGAGACAGTGATCAAGACCATCCTCCAAAAAAGAAATAGAAAAAAGCAAAATGGCTCTCTGAGGAGGCCTTACAAATAGCTGAGAAAAGAAGAGAAACTAAAGGCAAAGGAGAAAAAATATATACCTATATGAATGCAGAGTTCCAAAGAATAGAAAGGAAAGATAAGAAAGCCTTCCTCAGTGATCAGTGCAAAGAAATAGAGGAAAACAATAGAATGGGAAAGACTAGAGATCTCTTCAAGAGAATTAGAGATACCAAGGGAATATTTCATGCAAAGATTAGCACAATAAAGTACAGAAATGTTATGAACCTGACAGAAGCAAAAGATATTAAGAAGAGGTGGCAAGAATACACAGAAGAACTATACAAAAAAGATCTTTATGACCCAGATAAACACTATGGTCTGGTCACTCACCTAGAGCCAGATATCCTAGAATGCTAAGTCATATGGGCTTAGGAAGCATCGCTACGAACAAAGCTAGTGGAGGTGATGGAATTCCAGTTGAGCTATTTCAAATCCTAAAAGATAATGCTGTGAAAGTGCTGCACTCAATATGCCAGCAAATTTGGAAAACTCAGCTATGGCCACAGGACTAGAAAAGGTCAGTTTTCCTTTCAGTTCCAAAACAAGGCAATGCCAAAGAATGTTCAAACTACAGCACAATTGCACTCATCTCACACACTAGTAAAGTAATGCTCAAAATTCTCCAAGCCAGGCTTCAACAGTATGTGAACCATGAACTTCCAGATGTTCAAGCTGGATTTAGAAAAGGCAGAGGAACCAGAGATCCAATTGCCAACATCCGCTGGATCATGGACAAAGCAAGAGAATTCCAGAAAAATATCTACTTCTGCTTTATTGACTGTGCCAAAGCCTTCGACTGTGTGGATCACAACAAACTGTGGAAAATTCTGAAATAGATGGGCATACCAGACCACCTGACCTGCCTCCTGAGAAATCTGTATGCCGGTCAAGAAGCAACAGTTAGAACTGGACATGGAACAACAGACTGGTTCCAAATCAGGAAAGGAGTACATCAAGTCTGTATATTGTCACCCTGTTTATTTAACTTATATGCAGAGTACATCATGAGAAATGCCAGGTTGGATGAAGTACAAGCTGGAATCAAGATTGCCAGCAGAAATATCAATAACCTCACATATGCAGATGACACCACTGTTATGGCAGAAAGCGAAGAACTAAAGAGCCTCTTGATGAAAGTGAAAGAGGAGAGTGAAAAAAGTTGGCTTAAAACTCAACATTCAGAAAACTAACATCATGGCATCCGGTCCCATCATTCATGGCAAAGAGATGGGGAAACAATGGAAACAGTAGCAGACTTTATTTTTGGGGACTCCAAAATCGCTGCAGGTGGTGACTGCAGCCATGAAATTAAAAGACGCTTGCTCTTTGGAAGAAAAGCTATGACCAACCTAGACAGCACATTAAAAAGCAGAGACATTACTTTACCACCAAAGGTCTGTCTAGTCAAAGCTATGGTTTTTTTCAGTAGTTATGTATGGGTGTGAGAGTTGGACTATAAAAAAAGCTGGGTGCCGAAGAATTTATGCTTTTGAACTGTGGTGTTGGAGAAGACTCTTGAGAGTCCCTTAGACTGCAGGGAGATCCAACCTGTCAATCCTAAAGGAAATCAGTCCTGAATATTCACTGGAAAGACTGATGCTAAAGCTGAAACTCCAATACTTTGGCCACCTGATGCGAAAAACCAACTCACTGGATAAGACCCTGATGCTGGGAAAGATTGAAGACCAGAGGAGAAGGGGGCGACAGAGGATGAGATGGTTGGATGGCATCACCGATATGATGGACATGAGTTTGAGTCGGCTCTGGGAGTTGGTGATGGACAGGGAAGCCTGGCGAGCTTCAGTCCATGGGGTCGCAGAGAGTCGGACACAACTGAGCGACTGAACTGAATTATCCTTGTATAGATACCCTCATTTGAGAGAGTCAGAATATACCTCATAAAATAGCCATGGTGCATAAACAGAGTAGTTAAAATTTGGCAAATGTGACCTATGTTGTATTATCAGTGGTGAAAGCCTATTAGTACACAATTAAAGATTTGCATTTTCTTTCATTTTCCTTCCTCATCTTAAAGGCTTCTGGAGCAGATGCCCTGGAATTAAATTTATCGTGTCCACATGGAATGGGAGAAAGAGGAATGGGCCTGGCTTGTGGGCAGGTAAGGACCTCAACAGCTGCCGTTATATATGTCTGTGACAGAACAGGCTCCTGTATGGACAGTTACTCTACCTTAGGCAGGAAGATGGGAGGATCAGATGACTGGCTTGAGACTTCCAGGTCTGCATTGTTTAAATATTTAGTGCTTAAAAAGTAGAAAATTAGAGAAGCTGAAATTACAGCAACTGTTTAGTTTTTATTGAGGAAAATATCACATTATGTGCTTGACAGGAGGTAATATCATAACAAATCGTTTTTAAAAGCGCTGAGGCAGAATTAGCTGATTTCAAATGCAGTGTTCTTTATTCATTCCTGATGCTGATCCACTTTCCCTGGAGCAATATACTGTACAAAATGCATTGTTCGTAGTGATTTTGTAGTAAATGGGGCACAGCACAAATTGCATTTTACATTTTTTAGCATATGATCATTATTCTCTAACTGTGTTTTGGGAGTTGCAAAAAGACTTTGATGATATTTTTATTTTTTGATACAATAAATGGAAACTTCATGCTAAAACTCTTTCAGAAACTTAATGAATAAAATGTGGAAATCTGTGAAAATACTGCATCTTTATGTAACTAGATACAGTGTTATATGTTAAGGAACAATGTAAAAGCTTAATGCTAAAAAGGTGAGTATTTTGCATCTAATTTAACTTTTAAGCCCAGAGGGAAATGATGTGAATTAAATAAAACAAATTTGTTGTAATTTATGACAAATTTCCTAGTCCTAAAAAGTTTAGTTTTATTTCCACATCTAACATGGAGCCTTATACATAGTAGGTAGTCAGTTCTTTTTTTTCTTTTTTTTTTCCCCCCAAGTCATAGAATTATCTGAATTAAACTCAGAGGCCAGAGATGCTTAATTTGGACAGGCAGAAATTTCTGCTTATTCAAATGAACGTAGGTTACTATTTTCAGATTAGCATTCAGGGAGGATTTTAAAGTACCTTGTAAATATTTAATTAACATTCAGGATAGATTTGTGACTTGGGAAGAAACCATTCTTTTGTACTAGCAGGAGAAGGTGGCCTAGTCAGATGTTGTTCAAGTATACTCTCTACTCCACTCATAGCAGATTATCCAGAAGATCATTCAGTGTGGTAAGAGAACAAGCCTCAGAATTACCTGTAGAGGAAAACATCATTATGTTACATCATAATTTTTATAAGTCATGTGATTAGGCAGCAGTCAGTCTGTCAAGATAGGTACTTGGTTAAAACAAGGAACATTCTTAAAAGGACATCTGGAGCAGGGCCCAAGGGAGTCGAGTTTCTCTCTTTACACCTTTCCCAAATATCTTTTAGTTACATGGATTAGAACAGCTATGGAAAATGGGAATCTATTGACTAAGTTTTAAAAGAAAGATGTATTTTCATATGTATTTTTTGCCACAGATATGAAAATTATTATGAAAATGTTACCCAGCTTTAAGTTTATTTTTTAGAGCGGACTTTTGCTCTGTGAACACCTCAAAACTTACCCAGCTGTTAAATGTCTTAGGTGGATCCTCTCCAGAGAGTTATTTAGCTGCATAAAACAGCCTTTGGCTGAATGAGGATGCAAGTACTAAAATTTTTCAGTCAGTTATCATTAAGATTTCTAAAACTCATGGAAAACATATGTTCCAAAAACCATTATGTCTTAGACTGAAGGAAATTTAGAAGCATTTCCGTTTCTCTTGTTAGTTATAATATCTAAAACTATAACCAATTCTACTAGCCAACTTTGGAATTTTTCTTTCAAATTATATTCTTTTGTACCTTGTATAATTGAAACATAAAGCTAATTTAATTATTTTGCTCCAACATAATTTAAATGGTTACTCTGCCTCGGGACACATGCATGTTCAATATTTTAGATATCAGGAAGGAAGACAATTAGCACATTGGAAAAAACTTTACTGTACCTCTGAATTTTTAGAGTGGGCACGAAGACATCTGGGGCTTACTCATTTTCTCCTTCACTTCCTATTTCCTTTTCTCTGCCTCCTGTTGCCATTGCTTTTTCCTCCCTCCCTAAGGTTTATAGTCTTAAACACTCACAAGCTGGTGGGATGGGGAAACTATACCCAGTATTGGGAGACTGAGGAACCATTCCAATTTGTCTTCCTCATCATAGTATGATCTGCATCCCGTCTGCTACAAGCTCCCTTTGTGCCAAGTAAAGAGCTATGTGTATCGCCAGAGCCTGAGAAACGTTTGTTTCATCAATGATTCAAACTGACATTAGTCCCATGGCTAGAGTATTTTTCCATTAGAAACACTCTCTTGTACTGTCACCATTTCTGGTGTTTCTAGAAATCATGATTTTAGCTCCATAAGACGACTATAAACAGAGTATAGTAATACAGTACATTTTCTTTCTCTAAACATTTTTTTCTTCTTTATCTCAAATATTTTCTTGCAGATATCAACTAAGTGAAATACACTGCTTTTATACCTGAGTTTAATTAGTTTAATTATACATGTAAATTTAAACTCTTTATATATGTTCCCATAGTGACTAAAAGTTGTGAAATATAGGAATAGAAAAGGCTATAACCTTTATGACATAGAGGCATCATATATATTTATGGAACTTATAGAAATAAATAAAATCTCAAGCTGACCTGTGAGTTTGAATTGTGTATTCCCTGCATGGTGAAACTTCATATAAAATCTTAAACACTTAGCAGGACACTCTCTAAGTGTTTAAAGGTAATCTCATTCTTTATTCTTTCCATCAACCATCTTTGTCACCTTGATCAAACCACTTACTCTCCTGAAGCATCAGTTTCCATCTCTATAATATGGAATTTGAATTAGATGGTCTCTAAATCCCCTTCCAGCTGTAATATTCTTTAAATGCTGACATTATAGGCAACAAGCTAATATGTCATTTTTAAACTACTCATAAAGACCATTGGTAAAATAAGAACAACTAAATAAATAAAAATTGCATATTATGTTATTCTTTTTAAAAACAGTAACATTTTCCTGGCTTGCATGAAAGTCAAATGTTTTATTTATTTAATATCTATTTTTTTACACAAATCAATTCTCACTTTTTGGTATATTTTATTTGATGAATATCTAACTAGAAGTTGTTTAAAAAGTTTTGGTTTAATAGACATTTTGTACTTTACATTGTTAAAATAGAACCCGTGAACTTTTAGTATGTCAGCCTGCTCTTCAATCACATTTTTTCCATTTTAGTTAGTGGTTTCACCCAATAAACTTGATGCTCAAGCAAACGTAAAAACATGTTCTAGTTTGGGTGGCATATATAGTCCAAAGAGTCAGAGTTATATTACAATATGAAATTTTTTTTCTGTCTTTTCTTCAGTTCATAACAATCCTGTGAAGTAGGATGAGTTTCCATTCCATTTAACAAATTAAAAAAGAAGAAACAAAAAACCTGCCCTTCCATGTTCCCCAGGTCACAAATCTGTCAATGGCTACCAGGCCTGAGATTTAGTTAGCATGTAAACCTGAATATAGGGAAGGCACAGAGAACAGTCCCTCATAAATCAGTATTTGAATATTAGTATAAATATTATCATTATTAACTTAAAATTAAGAGCAGGATTAAGCTCTAAACTCCCAAACAAACCCGAACGTCCTATGTAAGTGTTTCGTCTCTCAGGAATAAGGGAGCTCTGATGTCTTCACAATCAAATTTAAAGTTGTCTGCGTGCAATCTATGTAAACTAATTTCTGTGACAGCATATTACTTTATAAAGGTACTTGAACTATGATAAATTCTATATAGTGCAGATGAAATGGCATCTCTTTGATATCTTCTTTTCTAAAATGCTAAGTGTCCATAGGGCATTAAGTGAATATTCCTCTTCTGTCCTTTCAGAATTATGCTGAATATTTTTACTTCCACTTCATAGACCCTCCTAACCTAGATTCACACAGTACCTGAATAGGCCTTGAATAGCTTTCTATTGTTATTGTGTTTATTTTGTTTTTTAAATTATTACCAACATTTTAAAAACAGGTGGCTGGACAAAAAAGAAAAAAATCTACTTCTTTCATCTCTTGAAATAAAGAAGGTATGGCCACACTTGACCTATATTGACATGTGGAGATGAGAACTAGAGCTTCATTAGGCTCCTTTAACCCTCTATGTGGTACACGTAAACAGCAGCTCACTCGTAAACCATAAACACATGTAAGCTCACACACGTAAACAGTGCTCACTCAATATGGATTTTATCAGTATGTACCTCTCTGATTCAACCTTAAAATACTGAAACCAAGCCTTCCCAGGATTTTTGCTGATTTTCTGGGTTCTTGACATTGAAGATTCTCTAGATTGCCTTCTTCAACCAGCAATACTTTAAATTCTTCAACCCTCCATCAGCTACCAAAAGAAAAATAGTAGGGAGTAGGGTATGGGGTGTGGGATAAGTTGCCTTCCTATTTTATCTTCCACATAGCAAAAAAGAAGAGCAGGAGGCAACATGTTCCACCGGACTTTATAATACTAGTTACATAACCTCCTTAAGATGAATTTTTGTCCTTGCCATTACAGAATATACACTTTTAAAGCTTTTCCTTATTTTTCAGAGCAGCTGTTTTCTTCTTTGCCTTGAGTCAATGATGTGGCACAGACTCTCAGAATTGAAAGGAACCTTGAAGATTTACCAATTCAACCTCGTTATTTAGAGGACAGGAATTTGGGACTGGGAAGTGATCTAAATAGCCTTAGTCTGAGCTAACCAACTAGCAGAGCCTAGAGCGTGTAATGCCCTTGTCATTGACCCCCGTCTAGTGTTCTGGCCAGTATTTTCTAATATGTCACCTGGGTGTAATCAAATCTCCAGTCAACTGAACAAGTCAGTCAGTTGCCGGGGAAACTTCCTACTCTGTACCTTTTTGAATACTATTATTCTCTCCACCTGGAATTCATATCGTTTCAACTGAAATTATTCAAATAAAATTCACCTAATGCTATGTTGGATGATCTCGAATTCATTAATTGGGCATATATTATCAATTAAATTGTCCATGATAAAGAAAAAAATAACATGTTATATATGAACAGGTTAAAGATAGAAACTAGATACACAGTCTCATTTCAATCTGTGGTGACCTAGAGACTGAATCACTGTCAATGAATTTGGATTTCTTTACCTGAAAATTCTAAGAAGTTATGGAGATGTTGTTTATCTGGCCCTTAGAGGATTCTCATTGTTCAGTGTTTGCAAGCCATGATTTGGCCTTCATCGTAGGTGTGATTGCTAAATAGTGCACAACTAGTTCACTGACAATTCCTTTGAATGGAAAATTCCAAAATGATAGTATATAATTGGAGGGAAGACTGCTTTAACTTTACCTACAGAGCAGAATCCTGAATAAAGATGGTGCACCATTCTCATCACCTGCTATGTCTTGCTTTCTCACAACCCCATCCATTTGTTTAAATACATTCTCTACATAGAATTTCTGAACACTGGAATATTCAACTCAATCTTAACAGTTACCATCAGGAAATATATATACAGTCCTGCTTTTATGATGATTTA